TAACTTTAAGTATTTTGGCGAATCATAAAAAATAGAGAGAATTACAATCTCCTCAAACAAGAAATCAATGCCTTTCCGGTATTTTTAATAAGGTCATAATATTTATACATTTGTAATTAGAGTTATTAAAATCAAATTTTGATTGTAAATACTAAAATTGTCTTAATAAAAATATCTGCTTCATTTAAAAATGTATTAATTAGAGTATTATTTGAACATTTTAATATAATATTTTTAGCAATAGCGCCATAAAATTTATTATCTATTTTTAACTGTAGAGATGAACAGAGTTGTACCATGATTTTGTGAATCTTTTTTAATAAAGAATATTTTGATTGCAACTGAATATTAATTGCATGAAGTAGATTTCCTACATGTGAAACGAATCCCAAATATGCTTCTGCCATTTCATACTCGAAAAAATTTTTCAAAATTTTAGGACAGCTTTTAAAATCTTTATTTAAGAAGTATTTTTTTAATTGTAAAATTTTAAAATTCTATCGATGGCAGGTATTAATGACAACCACCTGATAGGTATATATCGCAACAACTCACACCATTCCAAGTCAGCCCACTTTACCAACTCTTTTAATTCATTAACACTTTTAGTTGATGACTAAATTCGTTAAAACATTTCATCACAATTATTTCGACATCCACAGATAGTACATTTATTGCCTTCTTGTAAGAATTATGTAGTATATAGCATATACAGCCAATTGGTATTAATTTATTATACTGCTGCCTCAATTCGGTAACTTTGGTTTTTGCCAAAATTTACAGAGGCATTATCAGCGCAGAAAGCTGACATGCAAATCATTGATAACCCTGAATCAGCTATATTTACCATTATGTGGCTAGCTACATCGTTGAATTTTTCACTATCCGAGGAAAAAATTTTAACAGTTTTATTGAAATGTTCTTAATCTTGTTGAAATAGCGAAGGATCGAGGGAAATGTTTTAATATTTCCCTTATTAGGTGCATCTGTTAGAATTGCATATGGATGCCCATCTTTCAAATCGTCTAGAATTGACCTCTAGGATTCAGGTACTAAAACACTTGTGATAGCCTTGCTCATTTTTGTTCTGCCACAAGTAAGGTTTGCACTTATATTGGAGTCTTTAAATATCATGAGAAAAAGATTCGACCCATATTGTGATGATATAGCTCTGTTAATGTTGAACTACATGATAGATGTATACGATTTCCGCAAATGTAGTTGCATCTGTATTATTTATTATTTTTGAGAATATTATTGTATTGCAATCGATGTTGATATACTCCCCTGTACTGACTTGTATGAACGAAATGATGTTGATTAATTATTGGATAAAAATAAACCAGGATAGAAAGAAATTTACAAACTAGACATGTTTTTCGAATAAATATTTAAAATTATTTTAAAAATAATCAATTAATGTCTCAAAATTATTATTTATATATTAAAAATGTTAAAATACTAAAAAAAAATTGCGGGAGAAATTAAAATATTGCGGTAGATTTCCAATTGCGATAGTTTTGCGGGAGAGGGATGTCTGCGTATAAACTAAAAAATTGCGGGAGTCTCCCACTGATAGGGGGAGACATGGCAACCCTGGGCAATGTGGTTTGATTTCCTACATTTGTTGCACGTCTTTCCGTATTCTGGACAATTTCTAATAGCATGAAAACGATTACAAAAATAGCAAGAGTGTTGGAATTGGACCGATGGGTCCCCCAGTCTGAGTGGGTAAAAATACAGTCTGTGATCGGGGGTCCGGGATGGTCGATGACGGGATCCAGGGGGCCGGGTTTTATAGATTTAGTCATGGTATCACACGTACAACGTAGTGGAAATAATATTTTCAAAGTTTATTAAAGTCGAAGTTGCAAAGCAAAATAAAATACAATCAAAGAAAAATATTAATGGTCCAGAAAAAAGGTATTTTTCCCACCTTTATAATTTTTTGAAAACAAAGAGAAAAAAAAGAAGGTTGTTATATAATCGCGATACAATCATTCTTGAAACTGGTTAGAACCAGTTTCAAATGCAATATAAAAATAAGGTATAATATCAATTTCATAACAAAAAAAAGGAAGATGGGAAAACAAAAGAAGCAGGTAGAAAAAAAATCGTAAAGAGAAGAAATAAGTTATATGGGATAAGTGGGGAGATAGAACATAACAGTTTTCTTGTATTTGTGGTAGTTATTATAACCTTTCATTGGTTCTCTTTTTACGTATGTTTTATTATCATTTTGATATTCCCGATTATCATTATCATTATACTGTCAATTACTATTATCATTTTGATTTAATCGTTTGTTATTATCATTATATTCGATCGTCTCTTTGATTTTATAAACCATTTTATTAGTATTATTTATTTCTAAGTCTAAAGCTATTTCTATAATTTTGTATAAGCTTAACGGTTGGTCTTCATCTTTAGTATCTGGGTATCTTAAACGTAGTTCTTTATCTAATTGCGACATCTTTAGTCCAGCGATTAAATGATCGCGAATTCTTAGTTCTACATTATACCAAATTCGCATCTTCGGGCTAGCTCCTTTATATTTTTTAAATAGCTCATTACGGATTTAGTAGGGCCGCGACTTAATCTAATGAAATCAATTCTGATGCCAGAACAATTCTTTCATCTTTATAAAGTTGTTTTGCAATTTTGTATATATCTGTCTACACTACATTTTCAATTTTTCTTGGAAAGAGTAATTTTTTTATGTCAGTTATAATATTTATTCCTCCATAAGCTATAAATAATTTTTTCAAAGTGGCCTCAGTTTGAGGAATATTTTTAACATATAGTATGTATTTTATTTAGTCAATGTAATCTTCAATGTAACATTCGTCTTTTTTATATTCCTGTAATATTATTTTATCCATCATTTCTAAATCTATTATTTATTTTTTTATAAACAGAAAAAAAATTTAAATTCTATATACTATTTAACTTGACCGAAAACCGAACTCGCGACTTTTTTTTTTAATCTCAGCGCCAATTTTTATAGTCAAAACAATCGGTAACTATATATTATTGTTTACTATATATAGTATTTTATAATTATGTAATTTAACTTCTAATATTATGCAATTATATTGACCTCCATAATATAATATTAAATGTAGGAAAGTTATAATAATATAATATACAAATAACGTAACCTTTAAAGATATTAAAATATAAGAAAAACAATCTTTAAAACTCTTTTAATAATGAATGGGATATGAATGAGCTTTACACAGTATTAAATCCATTCCGAGAGTAGGTGGAATTTCTTTCCTCCCTAAAAGGATCGACAATAAACTTAGGGTTATTATTTCGCAGCGAAATAGAAGCTCATATACAAATAAATAGATCTGATTGCTCAGATATTATTTGCTTAAAAGAAAATATGAAAAAAAGTTTGACCATAGGTTTGCCATTACTGAACTTCAAGTTATTTTATATTTTTATTAATAAAATTATATTTTATACATTCGATATTAGCAACTCTACTTGATCCCAGATTTCAAAATCTTAAAGTTGTTTCAGAATATTTAAATTCGAATTCTATGACATCATTGCAATTTTTAATTCGACATTTAAAACTTTTTGAGCGTGATAGAAATGCACAGAGTGAAATTCAAGATGAGGATAATGGTCAAACATCAAGCACTTATATAGGTAAATTAGCTCGTAAATATTCCCTTCCAAGTAACGATTATAACAATATTAGTAATCTAGAACAAGAATGTCATATTTTGCTCAGCCAAAATAATATCCCATTAATCTTTTGGAAGAAAAAGCGACTGTAACTTCCTATGCTTGCTAATTTAGCTAGGAAGGTTCTTTGTATATATGGAACCAGTATCAAGCATAGGAAGTTCCAGTCGCTTTTTCTTCCAAAAGATTAATGCATCCTCTTCTGGTATATTATTTTGGCTGAGCAAAATAAGACATTCTTGTTCTAGATTACTAATATTGTTATAATCGTTACTTGGAAGTTTACGAGCTAATTTACCTATATAAAAGCTTGATGTTTGACCATTATCCTCAACTTGAATTTCTCTCTGTGCATTTCTATCACACTCTAAAAGTTTATGCAATGATGTCGTAGAATTCGATTTTAAATATCCTGAAACAACTAAAATTTTGAAATCTGGGATTAAGTATAGTTGCTAATATCTAGTGTTTAATTTATTAATAAAAATATAAAATAACTTGAAGTTCAGTAATGGGAAACCTATGATCAAGCTTTTTTTTCATATTTTCTTTTAAGCAAATAATATCTGAGCAGATCTATTGATTTGTATATGAGCTTCTATTTCACTGCGAATAATAACCCTAAGTTTATTGTCCATCCTTTTTGGAAGGAAAGAAATTTCACCGACTCTCGGAATGGATTTAATACTGCGTAAAGCTCATCAATCATATCCCATTTATTATTAAAGAGTTTTAAAGATTGTTTTCCTACTTTATTTAGAACATTATTTATAGGAATTTTGTTTACACTGCGAACACTTTATAGCATAATTAATATGCTATGCCAGCGTGTAGGGCAATTTAATTTTAAAGTTTTTGCATAAATTAGATTGGATGGTGCAATGCCATTTCTATTATCCGATGTATCAGACATATCAAAATGGTCATCAAGGTATGGATCAGAGTCATCAATATCCAAGATATGACCTGTCTCATAAATTGACTGCAGACATTTACGATGTTCAGCCTCAATTTAACATTCCAAATCAGCTACTCGATATCGGAGGGCTGAAATAATTTCTCTAATTTTTTTAATGAGAATATCAATTTTGGCATTTAAAAAATAAAGTAAATTAAGAGATAAAAATATACTAACCATTTGATAACTGAGCACATTACAAATAAATTAGATGCATTTTGGACTATTCGAACAAAATTTATGATATAGGGTTGGCCAAGATTTAAGCTGATTTCTCCTTACTTTTCATTTCATAAAAGAGTGTTAATTAGTTTTAAAATTTGTTTTTTATATCAAATAGAAATATTGCTGTCGAATTGTCATTAGATGAAGGTAAAAATTGGGTCACACCAAAATTACATCAAAATAATAATATGCTCTTGAATAAGCCAAACAGTAATATAAATAATGATATCTTTTTGAACGATTTATCTAAAAACACTCTACTTAAATCTTCGATATCTACTTCTTTAAAAGACGCTTGGAGCTTTTGGGAATATAATGCCGTCATTGAAATACCCTGCCAAATAATATGTCGTGCCTTTAAAGTTGAAAGTTTGCTATATTTTTTTGTTAATTTAAATTTTAGTAAATTGCACAAATCTTTTAAATTTTTAAGATTTTCAATATTTGTGAAAACATTTTATAGCCATAATATTTATAATTTAAATATATTCTATATTTAAAATTCTAGGTTGTTTTTTAAAAGTGCTTGATGCTTCTTTCATTCGCAAAGTTTCTTTTCAAACACAATATACTTTTTCAAATACATAGTACCTTTCATTACTAATTAGACAAGAGGAGGGCACTATGTTTTTTGAAAAACCTCACTATATATTTTAAAAAGGACAGTATAAGAGACGCTTGCCAGGAATTTAGTGGGTGGGGTAATTTTTTTTAAATATAGAAACGATCATTTTTTGAAACATGAATTTATTAGAAAGAATCATATTTAAAATTTTCGAACACGATTAATAAAATATTGAACATAATATTGTTAAAAAGTGTATATGTTCATAAACTGGAAAGTAAATCACATTAAAATATAGAATTAAAAATATATGATAATTTAAAAATTTAATCAAAATATCATTCATAAATGGATATTTAATCTTCTATGCAAGTTAATTTTTCAATAATTTGCTCTGTGGGATCAAATATTTATGTGTTTTAAGTAGTGTTGTTAAACGGCTCGTTTTGAGTCGATTTTTAAAAACGGCTAACTCAATATTTTATCCAGAATAATTTTACGCAAGTCTGGAGATTTTGCTCATAGATGGTACAAAGGTACATCAATTAGTGAAATCTCGAGGCTTAGGCAATATTTTTCTGGCTAAAATATTGAGTTAGCCGTTTTCAAAAATCGACTCAAAACGAGCCGTTTAACAACTAGTTTTATGTAGAGCTAATTATTCTATCTATTTTCTAATGTCTTATTTCTGGTATTCTCTCATTCTTGCTTAGGCTTATTGGTATTGCCAAATTAAACAGTAATTTTTATATTGGAAAAAAGCTCTAAAATAATTTTAAAGTATGCAATGCTTCCATATCGTTTCTTGGAAGATTATCTATTAGAATTATAATCATTATTACCAAGATTTAAATGCTGAAATTAATTATTCCTCAATAATTTATTATCTTCTGAATAATTGGGTCAGATTATATTTTTTTAATATCAAAAGTCAGTATATCTTCAGACGAATTGCGAGGTAATAATATTTGTAAATTAGATAGTGTCATATGATGAATCACAAATCATTCTATGATTTCGGTCAAGAATATATCTAAAAGTTATATAAAGACTAGGGGTGTACCGATACCACTTTTTGGAGGCCGATCCGATCCAATATTCCCGATATTAAATTGATATCGGCCGATTACCGATCCAATATCATATCTAATTTTCAGAGTTGTTAAAGGATCTAGATATAAAAATGTGCTATCTGTATCTAGATAGATTTTTGATTAAAATATCTGTATCTAGATATTATTTTAGACGATGTATCTGTATCTAGATCCATTTAAAAAGTATCTTTTAACAACTCTGCTAATTTTGTATTCTATAAAGATATCGATGGTTTTAATTTTTATACTTTTTATGTATAACATCTATAATTTAACTATACCATAACTTATGTCATTTAAATATATTATAATGATCAGTTATAGTTTATATTAAATTCAGTTGCAATTCTAAAAGTATAACTTTTAAAATATTTTTATTGTTAAATCACTTTTATATAATATAAGTAATAACATTAATCTATATACATATACATAATAAGTAAAAAACAAATATATTATGAAATATGAATAATAATATAAAATAATATTTAACATTATATCAAAGATTTTGTTTTAAGAAATACAAAAATTTCCAATTTATCAGAAATCAGCCTGCGGCGATGGTAATTGTCAAAATCACCAGTTTCACTATAAACAGATTCTGTACATATTATCGCACACTTTTATAAAGAGAATGCGCAAAAAAATAACAATATGACAGAATGTTTATTAATTAATTATTATTATTAAAAAAATATACTTAAAAATGGATTTCGATTTTATTTATAAAAATAAATGATTTTAGATATAACTTTTTTTTAAAATTTTATAACATTTTATTTTTGTTAAAGACGCCATTTTATATCTGATCGGCAAATTTTATAATATTGGCCGATAACCGATATTTTAAAATGGGTGAAATATCGGCCCGACCCGATCCGATAAAAAATATCGGTGCATCCCTATTAAATAAGAACGATTATTTTGTAATAATCATTAATTGACGCAATGCGAATATTAAAAAGATGTGGGCTTCCGAATCCCAATATCATATAACTTTAATTTTGCCTCAACTCGAACCAATCGACATGAGTTTCAACTCGACCTCCTCAGATTTTTCTAATTTTTACTAGAGTTTTCATATATTATATAACTAAGAAAAAAATAAAATTTTAGCCTCCGCTCCGAACAGCTGCTGAAATCCTCTAAAGGTCGAAAAAATGAGGTAATAAGGGCAAAATGCACTCCCTTTAATTTTAGATATTTTGGGTAATTGCTAGAAATCATTTAAATTTTATATCTTATTGGTAAAATTTTAAATACTGTTAAAAATAATTTAAATAAATCAAATCGGCATTTTTTTTTCACAAAATTTTAGCATTTAATGCTATAGATTTATTAATAATATGCAAAATCTCAATTTGATCTTAGCACAGGTTTAGGAGATGGCATTTTAATCATTAGTCAATTAATTCTTAATAGATATTTGATAAATCAATAATTGTAATATATTTAGGTCTACCGTTTTTAATATTTTATTCTTTTTTTTATTTAAAATTGGGAAAAGAGTGAGGGGGGGGGGGTGCTATTGCTAATTTATGTAATATATTTACTTTATTCCTAAAATTCGCAACTTTTCGTTTTTATTTATATAAAGAAAAGGATTAACAATCCGTTCAATTTGGATAAACAAAATATACGTTTTGAAGGCTTAAGAAATGTACCTTCTTGGATGATTAACCAGAATAAATCATTAAAGATAAAATTTGCAATACCTGTCGTACAAAATTAGATACATCTACCAGTTAGAGGTGAGCGCGGGCCTAATTTTTTATTACGGTGGTAATAAAAAAATTCACGCCCATTCACGCTTACGACTTTTGACCCGACCTGCCCGCTCACGAAAGGCAATATTTTGATTAACGCCCGTCACGTCCCAAAATTCACGGTGTTTTTGATTTCTATAAAAACTTAAAACTTTTGAAATTCGGATCTAGAATAAAAAAAATCTTGTTCTATTTTTTTAAGGTTTTAATTATTATTGTATCACGTTCAGAAGGTTAACAAAATTTTACTAATTTTTGTTTCCATAGATAAACTTCATTTATTGTGGGACGAGAATCTGCGCTCAGATTATCCGAGCATTCTTTAAATATTGATAAAAATTTATCTAACTCGCCGATGATGTTGATATCAGTGGATAATCTATTTACTTGCTTGCTAAACAAGTACGCATGTATTTCAGAATATGATTTTAAGAAACTCTGTAATGATATATACAGAGTTTCATCTCGTTATTACATCTTGTTTGGGTGTTGCTTAGCTTGCTATTAGCTGTAGATTGTTTGGAATATTGTAATATTTTTTTACACCATTTATTTTTAAGGCTATTTCAAAAATATAATGCATAATATTATTTAGTATATGGCATATACATGCTAGCGTTTCTTCATCTTAACACTTATAAGATTTGCTCCGTTATCAGTCACACAACTATATATAAATAATTTTCTACTTTTCTGTATTCTTCTAAAATTGAATTGACTTACTTTTAATATTGTCGCCTGTTTTCATTTCCCTTATCGCCAAAATAAATGTTTTTAATTCAAAATCCTTAATGATAATATGTCCTGTAATGATTAAAAAACTTTAATTTTTATAGTCATCCATCCAAAAATCGGTGGTTATGGACAAGTAATTATTATTGATCATTTAATCATAATTTCATCGATATTTTTGGAACTATAGTATTCATGAGAGTTTTCCGACTCACAAGTATATCTTTTATATTTTGTTGTCCAACACCAACATTTATTTTGGCCTAACTTGTAAAATTTGTAAAGATCTCTGACTTTTCTGTAAAAAGTTTAAGCAAAATTTAGCAAAAAGTCTCGCGATAAAACTATGCATAAAAATAAAATAGAACTAGTGGCATGATTACCGGATGTTGTTTACAAAATGCGGAAGATTTTTTGTTTTCAAAAATTCTTTTTAAAAAGGAACTAAATTAAATTAGAAAATATATATTATAATTATAAAATTGCAAATTTATAAAGAAACAATTTTAAAAATTAAAATTTCCGTGATTCATGGGAAATTTATGTTCACGCCCGGGAAAAATTTTGGGAAGGCCCGTCACGCCTAATTATTTAAAATTTATTCACACTCACGCCATGACCCACTGTGACACGATGGGTCACGCGTTATTTCACGGCCCACGCCCACCTCTACTACTAGTATCACATTTCCTTCATCCAAAGCTGCCCTTCAACATCTAAATTATTCATTATCCATCAATTAAAAAGAAATGCTAAGGGGAAAAGATATTCTATTTTCAAAAAATTGAAAATCCAGAAAATAATTAGGATAGTAGATGTTTTGAAATATTAAAAATGAATGTAAAATCATTAAGCAATTGAAAAATAAATTTGTCACATTCTCGAAATGAAAAAATTTAATGACGGTTTCACTAAATTCTTGGACCCCAAAATAAGAGGAATTTTCTACAACTGAATTCATGGCAAGAATAGCAAAGAAATGGGTTAGGGAAAAGGGTGTTTTATCAAATCCAAATATTATAACTCCCGGGATTATTTCTAGAGATTATATATATATTATTGGAAAATTTTACAATTCCGATTAAAATAGTCGTATAATACTTGATAAAAACTTATAAAAGTTTGAAGGAGATAGTGCTAACTAAAGAAAGGACTCATTTTATGCATTCTGAAGGAATTATTTCTTTTAAAGAAACTTATATCGATATAAAATGAACTTTAATAAGTTTGCAGATTTCCAAATTTTAATATTTTAAACTAAAATTTTGGTTTTTTAAAATCAAAATTTATGAAAAATGTTTTTTTTTCTGACTTAATACGAGAATCTTAAAAAAGTCATAATCTAAGCCATCATGATGTTGATTTTCTAATCAAAACGGAATGACATTTCTTCGCAATAGCCCATGGCAAAGCATTACCAAAAGGGTAGCAACAAGAGGTAGCCTTCGGCTTCAGCATCCACCGCGTTTTCAGGTGATAAAATTATTAAATTATATATTTCTATGAGATTTATTAAAATCTAGCAATCATTATTTTAATTACATATTTGTATATAGATGTGATATCAGCTCAATAAATATTTTAGGTCAGTTTCTGTATCGAGATACATTTGTGATGCATCTGTTTTTGATGTATTTAGTAATTTTAAATATGGCTAACTCAGTATTTTATCCCAAAAATATTATGCAAACCTAAAGATTTTGCTCATAGATGGCAAATAAAGTTTTGACATCTATTCGCGAAATCTCGAAGCTTAGGTAATATTTTTCTGACGAAAAATTAACCATTTTTAAAAATCTGCTCAAATGGGTATATTTTGCATCACTAGATGTATCTATTATTTAAATCCATTTTTGGACGATGTAATTGGAAACATTTTCAAAGTATTTTTTTTATCAACTCTGCTAATCAGCGGACAGGATAGCATAAAAATTGTATTCCTATTAGGGATCTGTAAAACACGACCCGGCCCCAATTTTTTATAAAATTTCGGTTCGGACTGTGTCAATTTTTTTTAAAGAGTTTCGGCCCTGTGTAAATTTTTAAATATGATATCATTACATTAAATTGATATATTTTTAAATTCTTGCTGGTAAATAAAAACGCAAAATAATCGGATTTAGGTTTTAATGCTATTATTCAAGTATATTGCTCACTTTTTAAAAAATAAATTACTATATTTGAAATAATATAGGATTTAAGCCAACTACTTATATTTAAAGTGTAATAAATGTTGGTCCACTCTAGGAATTTATACAAATATTTGGAAGTATAACTGTATCTGTAAAAAAAAATTTGAAAGTAAAAAAAGATAAATTTTTATTTTATAGCCATTTCCGGTTTTTGGTCAGAGCTATTTAACAGGCTTTAAATTATGTTTTTAGTTTAATTATTCTTTGAGATATTTAAAATTTAATTCGCATATAGATTTTCGTACTTTTATGCCTAGAGAAAATTAAATCAAATAAAATTTTTAAAATTATATTTTTTCTTTAATAAAATTGAAATAATAAATTTATTTGTATTTTGTAGTTATGAGGTGAAAATTCAATTCATCAAAAAAATTAACCAACCCCCCCCCCCCTTATTTCCAAAAAAAGGAACTTTATCAGATCTTAAATAACTATTCCTTTAAATATTAACCATAAAATATTTTATAGCTTTTGACTTATATTATAATTATTAATTAATATCAAATATAAAGAATATTTGTAGAATAATGATTGATGCTATATCTCTTAAACTTGAGCTCGGCCTAACTTGAATGTTTGCACATTTATTAGTTAATCCTATATCTAGATTAAAAAATTTGTGACAAAAAAAGTCGATTTAATTTTATGATCATGGTTTTCTATTTCTTTTGAGATTTAATTTTTTTAAACAATTTTAACTTTAAAAGCCGACCATTAGTCTATATAAAGAAATTTAAATGGCGCTTCTAGCTTATTTATTTATGTCCAAAGATATCTAAAATTAAAGGGAGTGTATTTTGCCCAAAATGCCCCATTATGACATTTAGAGGCCCATATCTCAGTCGCTGTTTGGAGTTGGAGATTAAAATTTTATCTTTATCATTATACAAACTCTTGTAAAAATTTTAGAAAAATCTAAAGGGGTCGGGTTAAAAATCATGTTTTTTTGTTGATTTGTCATGAAATTCATCATATATCTTGAACTTAATTGTTCTACAATATTATCAGCTATTGTCATGGTTTTTTAATAAATTAATAAAATTATTTTGAAAAATATTGTATAAAATAGTTGTTATAATATATTTATACATTCCTGCAGAAAAAAAATCGCATATCATTTTGAATCTAATAATGTATCTGCTTCAGATGAATATCTGGTCAGGCCATTCTGATATTTCTACAAGTCCATGAGCACTCAAAATAACCTATTCAAAATAAAATATAACCTTTTTGAATAGAGATACTCTGGAATTCATAAAAACCTTTCATATTTTAAAAAAAAATATTTTGTAATTTTTGGCTACTAGTCCCCCACTTGCTGGCTACCTGACTACTATGAAGTTATATATTAGAAGAAATATTTATTTTAAATTAAAAATTTTTAAATCTTATAAATAAACAAGTATATTTTTTTGTGTGGAAATGAAAAATGAATAATTTCGAATTGCCTTTTACATGACAACCCTATCTTTTTCATATTTATTTATTACTTAAGTTCTGCAACCAAATGATCTAAAATTGAACCTTATTTAGGCTCTTAGGTGATCAATTTTTATATATTTATTATGATGTGATTTCAAATAAAATTCATAAACTAGAGGTCAGCCGAGCCAGCGAAGATTTTTATAAAGGTTTTTCGGGCCCTCCCATAAAACTATATTGAAGTTATCCCGCTAGTAAAATTATTTAAGAAGAATTTTGCTAATACTTACGTTAAAACAATTCCGGATAGGTCCGTAAATATTATTTTTCTAAGAGAGCTGCCCCAACCTCTAACATAAATAATTTTTTAAGCTTTTATGGAAATTATTTAGACAATTCTATACGAAGGACTTTATTTCCTTTATTCTTACACGTCCTAGAGTTTCTATATATTCATTTTATATTAGATGGCATTGAATGCAATAAAGAACAAAAATGGCCAACTGTATTAATTGATCCTAATTCACAAATAATGCCCGAAAAATTAGAAGACATATGGAATCTTAGAGGAGTCATGAATAATGCATGGCATAAGATTAAAATAGTATATATTTCACCTTAAATCGGATAAATTAATATACATAGTTATGCATATTTTTTATATTCAAGTTATTATTTCAATATTTAATATTGTCTATTGTCATATTATAAATTAATTAAAATTTTATATTTGTAAGAATCGAAAATATATATTCAGATTTAATAATCTTAATATTTGTATTATAAATCGTTAAGTGTATCACCTCTAATTGCTATACAATTAATGTGTCAATTAGATAGCAAAACTTATTAAGAATAAAAAAAAATATTAAAAATAATAATTAACGTTTTACTCATACAATAAAATATACAAGTCCACATCAATCAAAACCCAATTCCATTTTATTTAATAGTTGCCCACAATGTTTTCATAATCAATAACTTATCCTTTAGCTATCCTGGCGGTATTCCTCTTCCTTACTTGAATTTTAATCGTCTGTTCTTTGTTATACCTTGCACATTCCTCATCTGTCACTGCTGCTTGATTCTAATATTAAGATACTCCACGTAATTAAATATACCTCAAAATCTGTTTACTAGACAATTTTAACTCTAGGATATGTATCCTTCAATTTTCTCTTCATCATAAGCATATTCTTATTCTGTGTTTTACTTTAAGAGTCACTCTCCCCACCAGCCCTAGGAATAAAGCTCAAATTTCTCCCCAACTTCATTTTGACCGATATTTACCGATTTCCTACATAGACAAAATATAAATTAGATTTTTAAAATACTCCATCTCGCGGAATTTTTTAATTTTATTTTCCTATTATATTTTTTTGTTATTGAAAAAAAAACTTTTCGGTTTTTCTTCGATGACTGATGTGTAAAGACATATGGTAAGATGAATTTCGGAGCTTAGAGATGGCACCCCGGTCACCGACAGGCCTGGACAGCCGGGTGCTAAGGATACTTGTCCAATAAACAAAATGAAGGAAACAAATGAAAATATGGATATGAAAGCTAGGGTGTTCCCTCCAAGCGACGCAAAAGTAAAATAAAGGTCAAAGCAAAGAAGACAAAATTAGCAAGTTTGAATATTGGTACACTTAAAGGTAAGACGAGAGAATTGGCATCAATGTTGAACAAGAGAAATGTTGATATAGCGTGCATACAAGATACGAAATGGAAAGGACAGAAGACTTTGATGATTGGAGATCGGTATAAATTGTACTATAATGGAATTGTTAGCAATAGGAACGGTGTCGGCATCATTCTCAGTCAAGATCTAACCTCCTCAGTAGTAGAAGTCAACAGGATCTCTGATAGACTAATGAAGATAAAACTCTGCATTGGTCAATCAATACTACACATCCTTTCAGTATATGCTCCTCAAACGGGTTGCAAGGAAGAAGAGAAAGATGACTTTAGAGCTATCCTTGATGAAGCTCTAATGGAAATCCCTAAGGATGACCTAGTCATAATAGGTGGTGACTTAAATGCGCATGTGGGAAAAGCAAGAGATAGCTACAAAAGGCATCATGGTGGTTTTGGATACGGAGAAAGAAATGATGAAGGAGAGCATGTACTCGACCTTGCCTTAATAAACACCTACTATAGGAAAAAAGACAGTCATTTAATAACATATGAAAGTAATACAAGGAAAACACAGATAGATTACATGCTAATCTCTCGCAGAAGATTAAAAGATGTAATAGACTGCAAAGTCATCCCAGGAGAAGATATCGCCGCGTAACACAAGCTACTAGTCATGGATTAACACATCACAAATAAATCCACTTAAAATAAGATAAAACTGGACCATGCATCAAATGGGGTAAATTAAAAACAATGACAGATGCCTTTGCAATCAAACATTGGAACAATAGATTCCTCACAAGTCAGTGAAAAAATGTGGACAGACCTTTCATCCAGATTAATAGACACTGCCAAATCGACACTAGGCTTGACAAGGGAGGTAACAAATCATACAAAGAACTATGGTGGTTGAATGAAGAGGTACATACCACTATACAGGAGAAAAAAGCCCTTTATAAAATATGGTACAAATCCAAAAACCCAGATGCTAGGGCCAAATCTATTGCATACAATGACATGTATGAAGAACTACATACCAAAGAAGGGCAAAATAAAATATACAGATTAGCCAAACAGCGAGAAAAGAATTCTAGGGATATAAACGGAGCTCCGAAAGTAATCAAAAATAAAGATGGGAAATTGATAATAAAGGAAAAAAAATAATGAATAGATGGAAAGAATATTTTCAGGAGCTTCTCAACTTTAATCCCCACATACTACATCTAGACGAACACTCCCCATATCAAAACCTTGTACAACCTATAACAGAACAAGAAATAATCACATGGCTCAAGCATATGAAAAACAACAAAGCTAGGGGTCCAGATGATATTCCAATAGAAAGCCTTCTAGGAGATGATGGAATACATCTCCTCACAAATCTGTACAATAAAATACTGGGAAATGAAGAGATCCCTCAAAAATGGAAGCAGAGCTATCTAGTTTTCAAAAATAAAGGAGATCCACACAATTGTCAAAATTACAGAGGCATATAAAACTAATGTCACACTGTCTAAAACTATACGAAAAAATAATAGAAAAAAGATTAAGAGACATAATCGAAATAGGAGAGACTCAGTTTGGCATTATGCCTGGAAGATCAACAACTGATGCTATCCACGCAATTAGGCAAATGAGTGAAAAATACAGGGAAAAGAACAAAAAGCTATACATGGTCTTTCTCGATATAGAAAAGGCCTTCGATAGAATCCCAAGAAAACTTATCTGGTGGGCGCTACGCCACAAAAAGATTCCCGAAAAATATATATATGGGCCTTACAACAATGGACCGTAGCGCAACAGGTATTTCAGCAGGCTTCACAATAGCGGAAGAAGTTCATCAAGGGTCGGCTCTCAGCCCACTTCTCTTCATTACAGTAATAGATGTATTAGCACAGTCTATACCTCAAACAGTCCCGTGGAATATGATATTTGCAGATGATATTGTGATACTTGCCTAATCCAAGGATGAAATGAAAGAAAGATTGGTGAGTTGGATAAATATCCTAGAAAAGCACGGACTAAAAGTAAATAGAGAAAAGACGGAGTATATGGTGATAGGAGGAGATGAAACAGAGAGTATTGATATAAATGAATGGCAGATATCCGCAATAAAAAGCTGCAAATATTTGGGCTCCACTATACAAACAAACGGCACAATAGCAAAAGAGATAAAGGGTAAAATTAATCAAGGGTGGTTAAAGTGGAGATCTTTATCTGGAGTGCTATTTGACAAAAGAATCCCACACAAATTAAATAGAAAAATTTACAGTTCCATAGTACAACCAACTATTCTATATAGTTCGGAAACATGGCCAACCAAGGAATCAGACGAGAGAAGTCTACAAACTATGGAGATGAGAATGCAGAGGATGATTGCTGAGGTAACAAGAAAGGAAAAAGTGCGCAGTACAAGAATACTAAGTAGTTTAAAGGTAGTGCTCATTAAGACTAAGTTAATGGTAATGGGCACACAATGAGATGGCCTATGAACTACATAGGAAATAAAGTTGAGAGTTTGGAAGTGATGGGCAAATGTAAAAGAGGAAGGCCAAAACTTCAATGGGGCCATAAAGTTAGAGCCAATATAAAGAAGTATAAATTTGATAAAAGAGATTGTATGAATAATATAAAGTGGAGAGAGATGTTGAAGGAGCTTAGCACCAGAAAAGGTGAAAGCTAAAAAGAAAAAAAAAATTTTTTTGTAATTGTTCCTCATATCGTTTCGACTACTTCACTGAGCTTAATTATTTTTATATTATCTTATATTTTTTTGAAAAATGTTATATTCTGCTTATAAAAATAATAATTTTTAATAAATATATTATATTATCATTAGTAAACAAATTTATTAAAATAAAAGTTGCAATTTTCAGAATGGCGATAGTATTTAGAGATGTTATTTTTAATTGTTGAGCAGTTATGTTAATCATATACTTATAATTAATTAATATAGACCAGGGATGTAAACCCTTCGACAAAAAAAAAGGATCCGGGTTCGGGTACAGGAATAAAATTTGAAAGGACCCGGGTCCAGGGTTCGGGTTTGGGTTCAGGGAACATAAAAATAATGACTCAAAATAAGAATTTTTTTTATTCATTTATTATATTATACTTCAATATCTTATTCATAATTTACAAATGAAAAATTTAAAAATGAAATAATATTATATTTTAAATGTTTTATTCTCGCACAATCATAATATCTTCTAAAATATCATCCTTGAGATTTCTATGTAAAGTAGACAATATATATTTCAAAGATGAAAATTCACGTTCTTCCCTTACCTAAAATAGATAGTTATCTTTAAAAATTATTGTACTTGTGTCACCGTTACAGCCATGAAGATTCTAGATAATATATATATAATTCTGAATATATTGAAGAATTTTCTTCCCAGAATTTTAAATTATTTATATCCTTATTTATTCTTTTAATTTCTGAGAACTTTACTATTTAAGATGCAATAGGTATTTTTTTATCCTCCTTTCTATCTGATGATAATTTGATTTTTTTTCTCTAAAAGTAGAATTTTAAGATCAATGTTGCTATCATTACTATTATCACTACAACCAATAGATATTGTGGCCTCCAATATATTGTAAATAATGGAGATTTGCTTATGCCATAAATCCTTGAGATGGTCTTTAGCCATTTGTTTTTACTCAATACTCAATAAAACTTGATATCGAGGGTCTAAATATATAGAAGCGTATACAAAACTATTTTGCAAATATTGTTGCTATCGAATTTTCATGTTTTCTAATATTTCATATAAAAAGGACTGTAAATTTTTCTAAATCTAATCGGCATCTAATCCATATGTCTTAAAATCGAATAAACATAATGGTTCTGATTGTAATCTTAATATTGTTATTTTTTATTTTTAAAGGAACTATGCACTAGTAAGGTCCTTTATTTGGCCCCAATCATCTTCCGACAAAATGACTTCACATGCTCCTATAATAAAATCATACAGAAATCTTTCACACTTAATAACCGTTCTAGCTTCATACAAATTGAG